GGCCGCTGCGTATATGGGTTGCCAGCTCTACCGACTGAGCTAACCGGGTGCCTAGTCCTGAATGTTTTAGTTGTTAATTCCTTGCTTGGATGGGATTTATGAGCATGTTATTATTTACTGAAAGTATAAACACTAGTTCATGTATAAAATGAAATCTTACTTGAATGTCTGGCAGTTGTTAATGATGGCGATCATGTACTGTACATAACACTGAGGCAGCTGTCTGTCTCTCAGGTGCTCCTCTTTGTAGGCCATGGCCTCCTCTCTGTACCTACACACAAAAACACACATCAGTTAAGCGATTGTTACGAGTACGCAGTAGTTTGTGTTTTGATAGAAGTCACATTTTTTGGGTAACTTTTCTAATTGTGGACATCAGAACTGTGGTATAAATATCGCTAGCACACAACCATGGCCAGTCTGGGAAAATGACCCAGGTTTTAATACTATGTTATTTCATTTGGCCTTAAATTTATAAAGATTCTGACATCTTTTTTCATTGAGCTAACGGTGCATATAGTGAAGAAAATCCCATAAAACTAAAGGAGACATTGATCACATCAGAAAGTAAGTCAAGAGGTATGAAAAAAAGTTACCTGATGAGGAAAGTGTTCATCTGTTTCAGGCAGAGCTTCAGAACTTGCTCTTTGAAATCACCATCAATCTGTGCAGCAACTTGCAGGTTCTGTTCAAACATCTGATGAAGATACATTAAGATCAGGAAGAGAGAGAATAAGTGAGATGAGTATTGTTATCTCCAATAAACTGTTTTCACTGTACATCATTCACATTAGTTTAGACCATAGACCAGTTTGACACGTCTCCAGAACATGAACAAAGTTATTGTCTTTTAAACTTTAACCTGCATTACGTTGGACATTTGGAGCAGCTGTATGTAATGAGATTGCTTGTCACCAGAGAACCAGCTCCTAGGTAGTCACAATGTTGGAGGATTGCATGGGCAAAGTTTCAACTGTCAGCAAGTCCATGGTCACTTAAATCTAGAACACCTTTAGGAAAAGTATCTGTGTCCCTCCTGCTCCTCCTCCTCAGTACCTCCAGCTCACTAAAAAACTCCTCGTTCTCTGTATCTGCTCATTCCTGCTCAGGAATATGTCATCAAAAGTATGAAGTGGCTGTGTGTGTGTGTTACCTGAAAGACAATGGCAGGCAATGTGGTCTGATAGTATCCGTCTTGGTCAGCCTCAGGCTCTGTATCTTTCTGCCAGTCCTTCTTGTCTGTTTCCAAGGCCTTCCGCAGCCAGCCTGTAATATTAGACTGAAGACATGTATAATCAAACAGAGTCTGGCTCCACGCGTAGCTAAACTTTGTAACATTAGCCCTTTTTAAACAGAAATTCCACAAAAGTCATAAAGCTGGTGTTGCTTTTTTACACTGAACCAGACCATATTGGCATAATCCTGCCCCAGTGTGTGATTTTAGTGGGGCTGACACCTTGTAGTTGGTTGGTCAATGTGCTCTTGTCCAACCAAAACTTTCTTAAGGAGAAAAGTGCTTCTTAATCCGTTATTTTCAGGGGTGGGAAGGACTGGACTTATTTTATTTTTATGTTATAGGCTATATTGTTGGAAATAACATTGATTATGTTTGTAAATAATATTCAAATGTGTTTTACTCAACAAATAATAATAGTACGGTTCAATAGGCAATAAGACCTATAAGTCAGGAATTTAAAATACCTGTTTTCATAAGTTCAATTAGCAATTAAAGCTGCAAGCAGCATTGAACGGGACCTCGCAGCCGGCGCGTGTCGGGTGTGCTGCGGCTGCGTCATGTGCAATTGTAACACGTGCGGACCACAACATGAAAATTTCAGTAAATCAGATCAAAATAGCCACGCAGTGCTTACTTCCTGTTGTCAGTAGGTGGCGCTCTCACTATATCTGAATATTGTCACATAGACGTGTTCAGGGCGGGACTCTTATCAAACAAGTGAAGTTTCATTGAGATAGGACATTGTACACTGAAGTTATGAGTATTATCTTTTTAAAAGCATCTTCTGACCAATTAAAGCTGATCTAATCAACCAGTAAGAGGAGCAGTATAAAAACATATTAAGTTAATGTTGGCATTTTCAGTGCAAAACTGATCACACACCAAGCCAGAATTATTTATTAAAATCTGAAATAAAGACCATTTTTAAAATCATTATGTTGTAATCAATATTATCAAAATTATTAGTTCATAATGTTAAAATAACCCTATAACCTTAATACCTACAAATATTTGCAGTCTGTGCATGTCACATAGTGTATGCATGGTTGCCATGGCAACACAAATCAATGTTCTTGGGTTCAGTGTAGTTCAGTCTTTGTTTGATTTGTTCATGTCCTGTTCATTTGTTTTATACATCAGCAGTTATTAAGTGTGATTATTGATTGACAATATTAGTCTCCTTAAAATCCCGCAGTTTATTTTTGAATTTCTGCTTTCGCGCCCTTTTAACAGTGTCAGATACGCGAGATTTGCACCAATTCCAATTAACAATTAACGCGGGCTCCCGGATCCGGTCATTATGGGATTTTCAGAGGAGAAGTACGTTGCTACTGCACATTGCTGTGAGGCATGCCACTTTTTGTGTGTTTTCAC